GTTCGTTCATCGACGACGATTCGAAGTTGTGCGAAGTGTGATTGTAAAGTCTGTTGCGTTCGATGGATGGGCTTGGTTGTGAAACTAAGAAAATATCTATTGGTATTTGGAGTCGTGGATTTGTGAAACTGTCCAATGCCCGGTGGAATCGATCTTTTGGATCGATACGAGTTTTGATAGAGAATATTTGCTCGAGGTCATCGAGGAATTCTTGGTTTACGGATTTTTCAACAAGTTTTATAGTTGGAATTATTTGATAAAGAAAATTTAAAGAAGAAATTTTAAATTTTAAATATTAAGAGAAATGGATAAATTTTAAGGAAAATAATGAATTTTAAATATACATTGGTGGTGGAATGTATAAGAAATGATATTTAGTTAAGAATTAAGAGGATAAGACGGATGAGGTGCGCGAATATTTCCATGGCAATCATCGTATCCTCGACAGTACTCTTACGCCTGAAATTTGCTTTTTACCTGGCCCTCGTGCTCTCTTACTTTGAGAAAATAAAGGTGAGCAAAGTTTCAGGTGTGTGAGTGCGTTGGAATCAACAAATAAATCCGGATAATGAAACGTTAAGGCAAAAGTTTCTGAAGTTTCTTCGAGCCAAAAGTTGAAATTTTATTCGAATATTTACTCCATTTTTGTTATTCAAAAAAATTTTATAAATATATTTATTGTATTTTTCCCAATTAAAAAAGTATCGATAAGGTCTAATGGAAAAGAAATGAAAATTATATTAAAATAAAATCAAGAATAATATGTTGTATATCATTATTGTATTACAGTATATCCATCGTTATTGAGAAACATAAATTAAACAATTTATAACAATATTGTTTTATGAAAAAAAAATATATATAAGAAAAATTGTTTATTATAGTATCATATATATATGATACTCAACTTCCTCAAACATAAAGTTTGTAGAATTTAAGTGAAAAATGTAATATTATATCATATATAATAAGAATATGTGTTGTATCCTTCGAATCTTTTTCACAGTGTAATCACAGTGGATAAAATATTATTAGAAAAGATTTATATTAAATATTTGTAAAATATTTGTAATCTTGTTATAATAAATATCGAATAAAGTACGTATTCATTTGCAGACATTGCATAATATTTTTACAGATATCTACGTTATATGATAAATGAGTCAGAGGAAAATTAACTTTGGCGAATTGAAAAACTCTCGTTGCCGCAAGAGATGCATCCAAGACATAGTTAGTCTAAAATTAGCAATGAAGTTAGACAGGTCTTGGAAAGACTAATAAATCAAGTCAAGCGTTACGATCTGGTTTCCGTCAGTGTCAGGCTTCCTCCAATATGTACATATAAATCAATAACAGAGTAGTTTAAACCCATCCCAATATAATTCATGGAGTATTAATTTTACATTTAAAGTCTTATTTCTAGAATAATATCGATAACGGAATAATATAATAAGAATTTTAAATGTATAACATGTTGTACGAATGATATTTATTTATTATTATTGACAGGTACTTCAAATAATGCAATAACTCTCAATTAAATTATTCCAATTTAATTTAAGAAAATTGACGATCATTGATCGAAAATAATTATTAATACAAAATAAAAAAAATAATAGATAACTAAAATCAGAGGACTTTACTCGAGTCAAGCTATCGTTATCCGCTACTTAAGAAACGATTATCAAACAAATTATTCATCCAATAATATTTAATCGTCTTTGCTAAAGTAATAATGACGGGGGACAACGATAATCCGGCGAATTATTTCCATTTAAATACGAGTTTACCCCAGGCAATTAATTCATCAAAAGAGTCGTCCCATCACCGGAAGGGGGCGCGCAAGAAGTTGTTAAAACTTCTAGGTTTATGCTCGCTCTCGCTATCTTTCTTATTCTCACTCTCTCTCTTTCTCACTCTTTCTCTCATAACCTATCAACACGAGATTGTAACCGCTCAGAATAGATGAACGATGAATCATGGTTGTAAAAGATTATAAACTTTATAACTCTGTTCAAGGAAACTGCATTTTTTTTAACCTACACACTATTCGACGTTATATATAAATAATATCGATAATCCAAAAAGCAAGTTAATTAATATTTTTTACGATAATATTACATCTGGAATCGCAAATTTTTATACGTATAATATTAGATTTGATATCGAGTTTTGAACCGTATAATACATCGATCTGTTATCGCGCATTCGAAATGTAAGTATTATTCGTGATAAGAACAATCCGGAATGCCCAGACTTTATTCCAACATTGGACAAGAGTGTGCGTGCGCGTTATCTGTTTGCACTCTTTATAACAACTTTTTCAATGGTGCTAGATTAATTAGAAAAGTTAGTATCTGATAGATGAATTCTTTCTTTTCCTCGATAATTCGCCGCGAATGAATATAAAGAATGGAGAGGATTATTTATATAAGCTGTTATATTCGCAGTCGATTTAATTATTAATCTAAATAAATATTGATAATATTAAAAATTATATAGAGGATAGAAAAAAATTATTCGTTAACACAAAATTAACACAAAAGTAACAAGAATATGGGATTGTGGTTCTAAACGATATATTTACATGTTCTTTAAATGAAGAATCTCGACTTTTAATCCAATCTAGAATCGTATAACGTGGTTATGTACGTAGTTACAAAGTTGGTAGCTAGATTAAAAAATTCTCTAACCTCATATAAAAGGAGCATCCCAGTGGCTCTAAAAAAAGATGTGCTTATAAAAAACTATTTCCAGACACGTGTCGTCCATGACACCATTTAAATTTTCCCTTGAATACATTTTCGTGTCCTCGAAAATATTTACTTGGCTATTTTATTAGTTCTTTTTATATATAAAATCTGTCTAACCGAAAAATATATCCATTATTTCACGTATCGCTATTGTTACATCATATTCGCATTAATATTATTGTTAGAATTTTACTTATATCTCTAAGATTTTCTTAATAATTTTTCCATAAAAAAATTATTAAACTATGTAAGATTTAACGAAAAAAGATTCAATAAATATCCAATTAATGCTATGTGTGATCAAATAAACGAAAAATATAATAATTTGTGTTTCCATATTAAAATTCTTGAATTTAAATATAAAAAAAGAAAAAAATCCAACGCTTCTCCATCTTATCATTCTATAGACAAATTACAAATATTATCTTAATCAAATAATTATATTAACAATCTCTAATAATAATCCTCCATTCTTTTTATAATAAATAAATATTTATTCACATCATCTATATATTATTCACATCACTACATATTTCTTTTTTTTCACAACACCAAGATAAGTCTCGTGATTCATATGGCGTACGGTGGTGAACGTTCAGACCAATAAAATAAACGTTGGCCAATAAAATTAGAAATAAACCTATCCTAATACACGTCTCCCGCAAAGATATACGTATATCTTCTCTTTATTCCTTCGTAAAATTTCCCAATGCGATAAAACGGACGGGTCGGCAAAGGGTGGATGGATATACAGATACGTATCCGTGGTGGACAGAAAATGGAAAACATCATATACCATCGAAGGGAAGTATAGAAGATCATGATCGTAACCAGAGAATAAACCGCAGATCGACCTTTGTAGTAGGAGTTAGTTTTAACTTCTGTGTTCAGTTCTCGCAATAACATGGGTTGAGATTGGGAAGGAAACAAATGCTGTGACTGTTCGTCGGCAGCGTATATAGGTGATCGGTGAAACGATAAACCTGAAGCGCATATAAGTAGCGTGGTAAGCTTTGCGCAATACCTTGTCACGACAGAATGGATATCCGTTGCGCAATATCTATAAATAAACTAGGTCCATAGAGAGAGCATAATAACGAGCTCCTGGATTGCACAGGACAGGAATAATAAATCTCCGTTTAGATTGGCAAATTTGCAACAATATGCTCCATTCCAGGTTCCAAAGCTCGTTTCTTCCGCGCGTTTCACAGTTTATCGCGGATAATTTGTCGACTGGTTCAAGCGGCA